CTCAACTACCTCTTGGTTGCCAAAAGCACAAAATTTACACCTACTCCTCCTTGAATGCCAAAAGCCCCATCTGTTCTATGCTCGCCAAAGCCTACAACTTGTTATAAAAGCATTTCTGCACTGCATCATTCTGAAATTTGAAGTTTGGGTAGGATAAATCAGATTTTGTTTTCTAGTACTGTCCTGCACTTGAGACTGGAGAATCTGTGCTGTACTTGTTAAGCCTAAAATGTTATTTAGGACATAAAGCTATAGCTAACAAATGATAGAAAATAGCATGACTAGCTTTTTGAGGAAAATGTGTGTTATGGAGCTTAAGAGTTAGAGAATAAAAGGTAGTTATGGTCTTATCTCCGGGGCTGCTAAAAGGTAATGTCAGCCAATGGAGAAAATGACATTTTAGTGGAGATGAGGGGTTGGCAACCTTTCTAGAACGATGTGCCAGACAATTTTCCCTTCCAAAAATAGAAGCAGTGTATGCTGGTAGGAACTCGGCAGGAGTCAGGGGTTGCTGTCTTGCACAAAGGAAGATATTTCCGATGAGGTGGTTGGCAATATTAGTGCTTTGTGGCAGGAGCTCCCAGCTCCTGCAGAGTTTTGAATGCCATAGTGGTCTGTGCTACATGGTCCAGCCCTGCGTCCTCATCCCTAGGAGCAGACGACGACTGTGCTGATGACATGTCAGGAGTGGGATCTGTGTGTGCAGGGTTCATGTTATTCTACTCCCTGACATCATATGCTTTGCTTAGAATAAAACCTAGGTGCATGGGCAAGGTAGGACCAGCAGGATGGGTCTTCTGGTTCGGATGACTGGGATACCAGGTATGGTTTTACGGTGTGCACAGCAGAACGAAGCAGCTCTGCATAGGTGTAGCTGAACTCTAAACTCACTGCGTTTCTCTAAAGGCTGTGTTGTCTTTGCAAATGTAATGCTCAGTGTTAGGGCGGAAGCGGTAGGTCAGCCTGGGGGTTGCCAAATTAAAAGACTATTAGGTGATGTGGAAGAGTTGGAACAGAATTAGTTTGTTGTTCAGATGTGGGGAAATCTAAAATCTTTCCCTTTCTGATGCTGTCACGTAAAACAGTACTCATCAGAAATGGTCTGCAGTACATGTTAGTGTCAGGAGAGGATGGATTACTTTTGCAACAGGTGTATTCAGGCTATGGAATACTTTTTCCTGTAAAGGATCCAAGTTATGAAATAAAGTTGAGCTTGTAACGAAGTAGAGCACAAATGCAGTGCTGTAATAAGTTTTAAAGCTTTTAAAGAAACAGATTGTGAATAGACTAGAATATTTGAAAGTACAGGATCTCGTATGGGCCATGAATAAGTAATTCTTACCTGAGTTAGTTCTTGCCAAGGGACACAAATTACTGGTAAAACATGGCATGGAAGAAGTATTTGACTGTCTCTGAAAGTGCCCAGATGACCAATGGGAGTGGGCTCTCCTACTTCCGTAAAGTATGTATCGTATCCTAGAGGAGTATCGATACCCAGTGACTCTCACCCAGTGACTATCGCTACAAAGCGATCATGAGAGGAAAGGGGTGGGAGGAGATGTGTGCACTCCATGTGTGATACACGCCTGTCTGTGGAAGTCTGTCTTGATGGTCTATAAAGGCAGGTGGCTTCTGTTACAGAAGGGATGATGAGGCTAACGGTGGGGAAGAGATAGTGACTTGCTCAAGTGCATCAATAGCAGAAGTAAGGCAAAAGCAATATGATCTTCTGAAAGGTGGTGCATTTGGATTAGATTAAAAGGCTTTGAAGTTCAAAGGTGTGTTCACTGAGCTGGAATAAAGTATCAAAGAAGACCAGAGCAGTCACAGTGGACATCTCTAAAGTGCAGTGGAAGGGAGAGTGCTGCAAGAGGTGCTAGTGGTAAGAGATCAAGGTCTAGAAATGCTATCACAATTTAAGGGAAAATCCTCATTTTTGGTATACTGGATTCTTGAATTTGTTTTAATAAAATCTTAATATTGATCATAAGAAAGAGGAGGAAATGAAAGGGAAAGAATAAAGCTAAACGAAATGTAGAAACTGGATACTGGTGAAGACCTCACTGTCAACTGTTTTGATTACTTTTTTTTGGGTCAAAGCTGCCTAATTTGCAGTAGGGAAAATACCTGGTAGCCCTGTGAATGTGGCTAAAAACTGAGAAAGTAGAGCTTGCTTTTTTTTAATACAGCATTCTTACAGTGTGCATAGTGTCTGCCTTTAGTTGGTTTGTGCAGGTGATAATGTTGGAACTTGAATTCAGGTATTTTTCTTGCATATCAGAATTGCTCATCATCTTTTAAAGGTGCTGGTTGCCCAAGACTAATGGTAACAAATTGAAATAAAGCTTATTTTTTAATGGCTAAAGGTAACAGAGCGTGTTGAATGCACATATGGAGTCGATCTGCTGAGTAGGAAGGTGTGATCAGAACACAGTCGCTCAACAAGACAGAAATTTTCATGAGCTCAAGAGAGCTGTGACTGAGGGTTGAGTATATTTGGAGATCTGCTGAAATTTTAGTCTGTAAGCGATCTTTCACAGATAACAGAGTTACTGCAAAAACTTGGTGTGGCTCGTAGAACGAGAAGGTTCACATCACAGCCAGTTCTGAGGACATACTGGGGGCACCACTACCTTTTGCTTATGCAGCTGGAAGACAGCATTCATCTCTGAAGGTCTTGACAACCTGAACAAGGAAGTAAACAGCAGTCTTTGGACTTTGAAACCTCCTTGTATAGACTAAATGAGCTGGGAACTCTATAGATTTAGAGGAATAGCATGTGATCTAGATGTAAAAGAATTAAATGACTCCCAGTGGAAAGAAAATGGGGGCACTTGATTGCTGTAACGTGGGGAGTTGTTATGAATCTTGTAGAAGCTAAGTGAAAGAGAAAGAGCTGAGAAGGTGATACATAGCAGAAGTTAAGATTTATTGTCTTTTCCTGCTCCATAGGTATTACAGAGGAACGCATGGAGTCATTGTTGTCTATGACGTAACCAGTGCAGAATCTTTTGTGAATGTAAAACGGTGGTTGCATGAAATTAATCAAAACTGTGATGATGTCTGCCGGATACTAGGTAAGTTTCTAATCAGAGAGTTATAACATCTTATTTAGTGGGCTGACCTGCTGAAGTACCAAACTGACTTGTTTTTTTTCTTCCCTTTTTTAGTGGGGAATAAGAATGATGACCCAGAGCGAAAAGTGGTAGAAACAGAAGATGCCTATAAATTTGCTGGGCAGATGGAGATCCAATTGTTTGAGACCAGCGCCAAAGAAAATATTAATGTGGAAGAGGTAATATATGCAGAAGAGTATAGAGAAAATGATTTGGGGATCATGGTTTGGGAAAAAGTAATAATTACATTCTTCCTATTGAGGAAGAAAGATAAAATGCTTTGTACAAGTTGCAAGTGAATAGGTAAAATGTCAAAAAGAGACATCCAACTGTAGGTGGAAGAGTTGGGGAAGCAAAATGAAGGACCCCATGTTGCATTTTCACTAGCTTTATGGTGCTAACATATTAGGCATGGCCTCAGGAAGGACTCGTCACTGGGGAGAATGCTTCTAGGAGGTAGGGCTGCCCAGTCTTCACTCCTGGCCTCAGTTGCCAAACTGACCTGGTTTTATTTACTGGTTTGGGAAAGGGGATAGAGGTGTTACTGATTTAGCTTGGGATTGGGTTGGGGAAGATCTCTGAACCGTTACGGAAATATCTAGAAAACTGGAGTTGCTTCAAAAGAACAGCATCGCACAAAAGCTAGCCTGAGTTCCTGGGTGGTCTGAACTTGCTTGTTTCTCTTGCAGATGTTTAATTGCATTACAGAGCTAGTCCTGCGAGCAAAGAAAGAAAACTTAGCAAAGCAGCAACAGCAGCAACAGAATGATGTGGTGAAGCTAACGAAGAACAGTAAAAGGAAGAAGCGGTGCTGCTAATGCCCTTTCCCTGCTGCAGAGACTCTGCTCTCAGACAGATCAGCCCCTCCAGCTAGACTCGGGCAATTCCACTGGGGCAGGCTTTGGGGAGGACTTTCTCAGTTTTGTGCCGTTATTTAAAGATTATTTTTTCTCCATGTTTTCTATCAAGAGGCGCTGGCACCTTACCACTTCAGTGCCAAGGAGGTATCGGATGGAATCTTGCCCCCCTCTCCTCCCCTGCTCATTCCAGTGCGCCTTGTAGACAAGAAGGACGTTGCCTACCAAGTGGACTAATTAACCCAAGAGTTTGTATATAATGTATATTGCTTTAACCAGCCTCGCCTCCCTGTTGTTGCTTTGGCTTATGCCTTCTTAATGTCAACGAATCATGGACTGCAGAGTTCATCTTTTTAAAGAAATAGTACAATGTTCTTAATTCGAGTTGGCCTCAGGTTGGCAGCAACTTCTTCCTGGGGCCTCCAGCTTCATTTCTGTTGGGCTCCAGGCTGGCAACTGGTGCCCCTGGCGCCTGTGGCTCCACCAGGAGTTCCAGGCTTTTACTGGGGCTCAGGCTTTGTTTTTCTAGGTACCAGGATTGCAGGCGTTGCTGCTGGAGCCTGGGGTTTCACTTCACCAGCCCCTGGGCTGGCAGCTGGTGCTGCTGCTGGGGCCTTGAATTTCAGTTTGCCGTGATCCAGATTTGTGGCTGGGTCCTTGGGTTTCACCTTTTTGTGCTGCAGCCCAGCTGTATATCTGTGCTCTCCTTTAGTTTGTATCAAGATACTGAAAAACACACTGAGCTGCAGAAGTGGGATTTATTTGGATAAATTTTTAAAAAAAAAATGCAAAGTTTAACTCCTTTGACCTCTGCTTCTGGTTCTGCCAGGGTCCTAAGTGAGGGTCCATTTCTTTTGAGAACAACAAAAAACATGTGATTCTGCCAAAAAACCCAAACTTCTCCTTGTTGCCCTGTCCACAAATAGGCGATCTGAACTTGAATGTGAATTTTGGTGGCAAAGCTTTTGTTTTTGAGAGAGAAAAGGCATGAAAATAAATCCAGCTCTTCTGGATTGATGTCCGAATATGAAAGCTGCTGCAGGATCATTCCCAGGATTCTTCTCTTAGAAAGGAGGACTGCTGTTCAGTGTAAAGAGAGGGAAAGCTTGCCTGCTTGCTTGCTTGGGTTATGTGGTGGTGGAGGATCACCTTTGGAAACGAACTGGTCTCGCTATGCTCTGCAACGTTTTCCTGGCCCTTGTTGGCCTTTCTGGGAAAACAAGGGCTCAGTTCATCAGCCTGAATATATGTAGTTAAAGGTGGAGAGTGTATGTGTGTGTAACTAAAATATCAAATGTATGGGCTGAAAGTACATGCTCAGCACCTGAATAATTGCCTAAATAATAATAATAATAAAAAAGAGTTTTTCCTTAAAATGACTAAAAGGCATGGAGGATATGACTTCCTTTAAGACCTTGAAGGTGGATGTACTCAGTTTGTCAATGGAATTGCTGGCCTTAGTTTGGTAGGATATGATACACCAATGTCCATGAGCTTTGAATCAGCCCACTTCTCTCTTCCTCCCCCTCCCCCAGGAGAGGCTAAATTTTAGTCACTTATTTTGCCTGCGTTTTTTTAGATTTTTATGGGTTGTGGTAAGAACCCTAATCATACAATCACGTCACAATCAATCACTTTAAAGACTTTTTAAAAAATGCAAACAATGAATGTGTAACACATTTTTTTTTAATCAGTTCAGGTGCTGGGAGTATGTATCCAGCTGCCTTCACCCGTCTCTTTCTTCACATATCTTTCATTGGTAACCCAAGAATAAGAATGAGCTGAGATGATATTACTAGTGTGAGCTCTGATAATTGTAAGACTTGAGCGGCTATAGAAGGTGGCGGCTTAAGTTACACCGGTCCATTCTGTCTGCTTTCTGATGTGGAATGTGGTGTGTGCCCAGGGAAGGAGCTGGGTCAGTCCTCAAAGCCTTCCTGTTGAAACGAAGCTGTCCTGTGATGGTTACCACTTTCAGATTAAAGCACCCAGCTGCGTTACTTTGGGACTCTTGTGGTAGCATGTGTGCAGATCTAGGAGGGAGTAACTTCATATAGGCAGAAGTAAAGAAAATGTCTGAATTTACTGGAAATGATGCAATAAAATGAGGAAATGGTGCACCCAAGCCTGGAGTGTTCTCTTATATGGAAAGATTGTTTCTTTTTGAGTCTAGGTCTTTGTGGCCACCGTTTGAACTTTGCCAATCCAGGTGTCCAACTTCCTGGCTTGAAGTGGGAATTTTTTTTCAATTTTTTCCTAGAGCTGGCTGTAGAGGAGCGGTTACCTCTTTGCTCTTGCCACTGACTATTCAATTGGAAGGGATGGGAACTGTGTCTCTAGTGGTGCTGATGTGAAGTTTCCTAAATGTTGAGCAATGGAATGTCTAACTGGTTTGCTAGGATTATTTCTGTAATGAAAGTTTCTAATTATGCTTTTTAAATAATTTTAAAAAACTAAAAATAAAGGTTACAAGCTGCCAAATCTTTTTTTGAGGCTCTGTTTCCTCTGCTGTCCAGCATCTGGAGGTGGAGGGTGGCAAGCCAGGGGTGAGCTCTTCTGCTGTACGTAGAGGTCTGGTTTTTGCCCCGGGAGGGGGAGTATTGGCAAAACCACAATTAATGCTTTCAAGTGTTTAGTTGCTGTTCTGGTTTTTAAATGTGAATGAAACAGTAGGCTGGACCTGGTAACCTTATTTCTGCATGGAAGTGGGATGCTTGTGATTTTGCTAGAATCTTTCGTCTTGTTCTACAAGACGTGTTGAGTGAGCTTTGAAACCTTGAAGGCAGCAGGGGTCAGATCCCCAGTTGATTAAAAAGCATCTGGAGTCTCTCCTTGCTTTCCCAGGGAAATGAACATCTGTTTTTCTGTGTAGGAACTACGCAGACGTCGCTGTGCTTGTTGCCCTTAGCATTCACTGACCCCTGCCCGCCCGTGACGCACAGGCGGGCTCTTGAAGGTAAGTCCTCGCTTTTGGGAGAAGTGTGACGAAAGCTTGCTGTGGGAAGGTGCCGTTTCTTCTGTCTGCGCTGTTAAGGCGTGACTGTGTAGAGGGGAATCCTGAGGATGTGTAGATGGTCTGAACTGCAGCTGGCACAAGCCAGAGGTTTTCATCATTGTCCATCTGTGTTTTCTGTCTGAATTCATCTGAAGTTTAAATGTCCCTCCATATAAAGGCCAGTAAATGGTACAAAAGGCTATAAGGTGGAGAAGATTGACAAGCTCTCCCTTCTATTTTCCTGTGCAGCAGGAGATAGAAATGCTTCAAATGTTCTTTCTCTGGGACCATTCTCTTCTGAACACATGCAAGTGCTTTATGTGGCTGAATTTCTTGGGATGATGAAGTACTAAGGATGCTTTTAAGTCTTAAGATGACAGTTCAAAAAGTGAGCTTGTTCTGCAGCTAGGCAAGGTAAGCAGTGACTTAAGAGCTGAGACGGTATATAAATGATCTGTTTTATTCTGAAGAGAACTATTTACAAAAGAAGTAGAGCATTGTTTTTACTAAAAATATGCCTTTATAGATTTTTATAATATGTATCTTATAAAAACCATACATTTATTTACATTACTGCTACATACAAAAATTACAGCACTGTGGTATATGTACATATCTATAGATACATTCTTTCTGCTTGTCCCTGCTGTGTGCTTTTTCCCTCTCAATCTCAGGGAATCGTTGCTGCAGCACCCAGACACTTCCTTTCTTGGCTTTTTGGTTAAAACAATCTTGCTTTTTATAGCCGAGCGGGGATTAGAGAGTTTGCCTGATGTAGAGGCATATCTGGAATTTACTGTTCTAAGTAGGACAAGTGCATGCAGCACTGCCTGTAACCTCACTTCTTACTTCTCTGTGCAAAATTATTCTGTTGTCATTAATTGATTCATTGTTCATCTCAATGGCAAGTTGCTGATCTAAGTTTGTATTAAGATAAAGTGCTAGTGACTTGCCTTTCATTTACGCTTACTTGTTTCTTGTTTACAGTTGCTTCCCTTGGAGAGTTTACTAAAGGGAGGCTGATCCCTTTTCCCTTAGGCTAGCATAATAAACATTTGCCCAAACAGTCACCTGTTACTTAACTGTGGGAAAGTTCTTTGCAACCTTAATCTCAGCAGGCATCTCTTCTCTGTGCAATATTTGAACAGTTGACTGTGCAGCACTACTGTTTTGTTGTCTCAAAAGCAAGGGTGAGTGCTGTATCTAGAGCTGCTGATCCCACTCCTGAAAACCTACTTTGGGATCCTGAGTACCTGCTGGATTGATGTGCTTCCTCCATCTCATTCACTGGAGCCGATGTTTCCTTTACACCATGTGTGTCCTAGAAGTACCAAGTATCGCAAGTGGAGCGTCGGCTAACCCGACACTGCAAGGATGATTCCAGGCTCCTGGCCGTGACAGGATGGAGGTGCGTGTTTTAATGACAGCTCAAGGTGAAATAGTCAGGACCTTATTAAAACACATTATGACAGATGAGAATGTGAAGGACTGCATTGATGACAGTTTTGAAAACAGAACAACAAAACCTAGCTGCTATGTTAAGGCAGTTTCTGTTTCTGTTGAGTAGCAGCTCAGCACAAGGAGGTCTCCTTTGGTGTGTTGTCCAGTTCATTAAACCCAAGTCTCTTGTATTTCTGGGTTTAGTAGTGCAACTAAGTCTTTAGGGTTAAGGGACTAATTTTAAGAAACCATGCCCAACTGGTACCTTAGGACATGCTGACTTTGCTCTTGCAATCTCTTCCATCGTTGTTATTAAATAAAATTGCAGTGGGATTAAGGTAGGTTCCTCCTTAAATGAAGAGATGTGCTGCACATTTCAATTGCCTACCCCTGCAACTGAATGAGTCACTTTCCTCTCAGCAAACATGTAGCAGAAGGCACCTTTCTTCATCTCATTCCTGTGTCTTCATCAGATAACTTAAGGCTCTTGCCTTGGGATTGCATACATACATACATACATAGATCCTCACTGGGGTAGAGTCCCACACAGCTGCTGGGCATGTGGCTTGAAGAGAGCTGCTGGGGCCTGGGAAATGACAACTGACAGCAGAAAAAAGGTCTCTGAGGACCAAAACGTTCACATGGCTCGCCCACAATAAACAGTGTCATTTTCAAACAGTGTATAAGACAACTGCTCACAGGTATCGCCGGCATCCATGAACCCACGCCTAATTTTCAGGTATCAAAGTTTGTGTTAATGCATATGGGCATAATTGAATCCTGACAGCTGGAGATGCTGAGCACGTGCCTCATGTCTCTGCCTTATTGAGAGTCACAACATGGGTAAGGCGGGAGGACAAGGACATGCCATCCTGACAGTGTGCTTGGCACTGCACTGAGTTCCTTTCCCTCGCTTGCACAAGTGGGTACAAGCAGATACTCAGCAGTTGAGCATTGCCTGGAAAGGAGAGGCCAAGGTTTGGTTCCCTGCCCTGCCTGTGAGACTCCAAATTCCTTTCCCTGTAAGCATCAAGCTCTATTGGTGGTGCTTTAAGTATTTCCTGGAGCAGGATCTGCAATCCAGGTTTCATTGCTTTCAAGTAAATGGGTTTTACCACTCAGCTTTTTGCCATCGTTTTCCATCCCGAAGAGTACTCTGCTCCCTGCAATATGGAGCTGCTTCAGTGCAAAATGATTTCATACCAGTGTGGTAGTTTCATGCTAACAAGGAAACATGAGAATGCTCAAATCGTTGTAGGCAGAAAGGATATTTGTACTGAGGTATTATGGATGTCCTATCCCATACATAAATTGAATAATAATCAAAAAAACCCAAGCCACCAACCTCTTACCTGCTTCTTAGAAGAAGGTGTTTGATACCTAATTCTAGCAGAAAGGCTGTTACTGTAAAGAGTGAGCAGAGATAGCAGCTCCCTGTAGGATGGTGTTCTAGCACCTAAGTTGCTGAGCAGGGCAGAGCTGAATGTGTACCTAGCTCCGTCTCCTGTGGGACAGTGTGGGTGGTAGCCTCTTTAAAGCAACGGGGAAACAAATTAGGGCCTGTGGGTATCATGAGCTGGGAGAATACGTGAAAATTGCATGACAGCAGCAGAACATCACTGAACTTAGGCTGGCATTCCTCGCTGGTTTATGATGGTAGACCCCGTTAGAGAGAAGAGCTGTAAGGTGCCCATCCAACGTGTAG